ACTTTTCCCCATAATTCCTTGTAGTATTAGTAGGAAAGCGAGTAAGGAATGATAACCCGAAAAGGACCTCTGTGTGTGCTTTTGTCTTGGGTCTTGCTCTGTGCTTTTGATATCACTGCATGTAAGACCACACTATTACATGTTGACCACACTTATACTGATTTTTTTGTGCCTAACCATTTTTTGAGATTTGTTTACTTTATCAGGAACTTTCCAACCTGTCTCTTTGTTCAGTAATATACTTGGGATAAACTAATAAACTGTTTTCATTGGAATGTACGTGTTCTGTGTATTTTATCACATTTTAAGGGCCGTTGAGCGATCACAACAGAACAAGCATGACAATACTTGAACTGAAAAATACTTGATTTTATTCATGTTGTGCCAATATGGTTTTTATTCATTGTCATCCAAACGAGGCCATTGAAAGCCATGATAGGTCTCATCACCACTCTGAAATTGTAGCCTGATGGTTGAAACCAGACAGGAGGGTAGAGGCTTCCTTATATGAAGACCGAGAACGCCATAAGGCCAGCGTATAGCCTGCCTGTACGCTGTGTACCGGTATTGCCTAGGGATAAGTAGGTTGGAAACTTAATTGTATACCTGTTTGTCATGCATGTTTATGCAACACATCTCTAGTCTAGTAATGGTAAAATAAACATAAACAATGAACATACTCGTGCCTGCTGGCTTGAAGGGGAACATGATCCTGCCTGAAATGTGAGTAGGCTATCTTTAGCACAAACGGATTCAGGCAGCATGCCTCAAATCCTGGATGCTGAGTTAGGCACGTTACATCTGCTGGCCGCGGGGTGAGCTCCTCGACCAGCGACCAAAACGCACTCACTTCCCTACAACACTGTAAGCTCTCCACCACAGTTTCCATGGGACGACACCGCCCACACAGACACGCTTACTACTCTCTCCCTCTCCCGGTAAGCAGTACCCTGATGGGGAAAAAAGTGTTATTGTATGCACTGCTGTTCATAGACCGCTCCAGCGCTCGTTGCTGCGATCTAAATGGTAGCTAGCGACTGACCAGGACACTTCGCCAACTCTCCACTCATTCTCCTCTGACCATGCATTTAATTGTCTTTGACGGCCATCGGCTCTCATTCGCCCTCTCACTTCTGACCGGTTCGAAATTATATGGCTGTGGGCCATCATAAATGTTATTTGTGGGTCTTGCCACCTCTTCCTCATCCCAGTTAGACGCCATAGTTCTAGTACAAGGCTGAGGCTACTTCCACCACGTCTCACTCATGTGACGTCATCGCCGAATTGCGCTAAAAATAACCGTTACGACCAAAAACTACACTTTAACACAATTTTGGAGACATTTCTAACTTTATATACATATCTTGAGTGCTTTATGTACCCATTAATCGAAAGTGGTGTTTAACCTGCACCATGGCCTTTAAGAACATATCTCTATATCTCATCTATATCATATCTCCAGTGTTTAAAATTCTACATTAAAAAATGTCATGTTATTTTGTCATCTCAACTCCAGAGCCATAGAGAGTTGCGTCATCACCGGTCACCCATCAGAGCAATATTGGATCATGGAGAACTAGTAACAGCAGTGCCGCATAGGAGCTGCGTTTTCACTGTGCTTTTCAAAGTCAAGTTAAAAGGTAGCACTGTTCACTTTTAAGTCAGTTAGCAATATATTTTACAGCATCATCATATTTTTAAAGTTAATAGATTTTACTACTGTACAGAATGTATAGAAACAGATAATGCTAGGTAACAGGGAGCAAATCAATAACATCAATATGGTTTGTTACATTGTGTTAATGTAATTTTGTGCATTCGTATGACAAAGGCCTCTCAATATGTGTTTGAGTGGGAAAGAGTAGTCTATTTGTTACTTAGACATAGGAGATTACTGTTTCGTAGTCGTATTTGTCTAAATGGTTGGTGGTGAAATGGGGATATCTTGTCATGATAACTAAATAAATAAATGATGTGATGATTTCACATATCGTATACATAGACGAAGAGGAGTTTTAGGCTGTGACACTTGTGTGATGCATGGCTTTTTATATGGATGGGAGAGTTTGAAGATTAAGAATAGTTTAAGAATTACGAACTAAGTTACTGAATGTTCATGCCTAAAAACAATCATTAATGGTCATTCCATGTCCTATAGTGCGCATTGCAATCAGATTCAACTTTCAAGACAGTCTAAAGTCACTATGAATATGAGTGCATTTTCAGCCAACTTTGGAGCAATGTATCATCTATTTTACAATTTCAATACTCAACGTTGTATTCGAAAAATAATGGGAAAGAACAGGTCTTTATTGCATAAGTCTTACCATTGTCCTTGTTATGTTAATTGTATATTAATAGAGGAGACCATTCTGTCACTTTTTGTTTGCCAAATAAATGCCTATTTCCACACATTGTGTTGTGATGGCACTTCTTTAGTCACTGAGCTCAGCTGTGAAAGGGTTCGAGTGACATTGCTTCTATGAAACTGTTACTATAATAAAAATAATGAAATAAGGCATTGTTAGTTACTTCAATATAATTTATCCACAGCCCAGTAAGGCATACACCTAGTAAGTAAAAATGTACTCAAGGCTTACTGACATCAATAGAGATCAATAGAATAGCATCCATAGCCTAGTAACCAAAAGCCATACTAAGGTACCACTACATTAAGCTAAGCTTAGTGAATATGCCTAATGATATTTTGGTATAGATTAAGTATTGATTCAGGGTCTGGTGAGTTGGTCAAACAAATAAATCATGCTTATGTGCCATTACACCCCTAGTCTTGTAAGTTATGTATTCTACTCATGTTATCCTTGAATAAGGATAACTTCTTATGTTCATGTTACCTCTTAGTCTAGGACTTGGCCTATTCTATAATCCAGTGGTTCCCAAACGTTTTTTGTCAGGCCGCTCCTTTTGTAAAAATAACTAATTCAAACTACCGAGGGCAATACATTTTGAGGGTAAAATATATAACAAAGCGCTACCTACTATTACAACACGTTCTCATCCCAACTCGTAATATACCGACGATTTGTCACGCCCCTAGACGTCTGATACTGACGCAAAAGGTACCCTCTCGCGTCTGTGTGAAACGATCTGGGGGTTCTCATAAACCCGTTCGCGTTGGTAAGAGACGAGCAGAGTCTACAGCGCCCGCAGTCTACTGTGAAACAATTCACTCCAAAAAGGGTTAGGGTTAGGGTTAGCGTAATCTATCACCATGACCGGGTTATTATTGGAGTGAATGGACGCTGTAGACTCTGCTCGTCTCTTACCACCGCGAACGGGTTTATGAGAACCCAGATCGTTTCACACAGACGCGGGAGGGTAACTTTGCGTCAGTATCAGACGTCTAGGGATGTGACAAATCGTCGGTATATTACGAGTTGGGATGAGAACGGGCTGACTATTAATAACTGGCTGGTAATTAGGTAATAGACTGCAGTTACAATGTTTTTTCTTCTTTTTCTGGCGTCATCCAGATTAGTACGTGTTTTTTCCTTTGCATGCTCTTGAATAGCGCCAGTGCTGCTGTGCAATGTCATTGAAACTTTGCACAATGTACAAACCACCTTTTTCGTTTTATGATAATACGTTCAAAGCCGTGTGTCTTAATTGGAACTTAAGTGGGTCGTGTTTCCAGTGACAGCACTCAAGCCTGCGCCGCCATACACCTGTGCTATAACTTCCAGCACTGCTAAAAACCGTGGCCATAAGAACCGTTTTGGTTTACGCCAGCTCGTGCAGTTCACGCACAGCGACTATAAAGTTTGACACTTTGGTGCACACCACGGTCATTTAAATTTGATTTAGTTTGTTGTGCTCTTGTGTGCAACATGTTTTTTAATAGATGGAGCATTTCCCCTCACTACAATACATTACATTCTCCCTTCCATCTCCCTGTGCCCCTCCTGCAGTACCCCTGCGCCTCCCACTTTGGAGAACCCTGCTATAACCCCTGTGTCACCCTGTATTCTCCTGTTACAGCGGACCAGATTACCATAGACAGTAAATGGGGTAATTCTCTTTATGTACTCATGTTCTCCATGTGCATTATGCGCCTCAATTGGGGCCTAAACTTAGGAAACTTGAGATTATTATCATTTAGTTGTTGCAGTAAGGGGAATGCTTTTACACTGGAGGTCATAACTTGAGTGGACTGCCCACAAGTAGCTTTCAATGGTAACACATTGGACATCATATTTGCTGCACATCACTCTTTTTGGTGGATTAAGAGCTTGGAGAGGCTATGGCTCGGTCTGGATGGATTCAACTTCTGGTATTTTAAAGTTTAAAAAAAAATTAACACGACAATTCTGACTAGAAGCTGAAGCGGCACATTAGCTAGCCATTCAACCCTTCACGCTGATCTTCTAATTTGAGCTTGTTATATAATTATACCATAATTATATATATATGAAATACTGACAAGCAGGTCAGTTTGCAAAACTCCTGAATCAATTTGCATTTTGTTTACTACCAAACATCGCTGTTTGGTAGTAAATCAGCAAACTGATGCTTAATTTCAACTCATTCAAATGACCCGCTTAGAACTATCTGAAACAATATGAACCACGTGACCGCCGAGCATGTTGACCCTCCATTAACACAACTCTCTCCCTCTATGGCTCTGCTACATCCTACAAATCCTTGTGCTGTGATTGGTTGACCTGGGAGCAGGTGGTGACCGGCCAATGGTTAACTCAGTGGCTCATTTACGAGCAGCCCGTGTTGTGGAAGGAGCAGGAAGTCAGGTGCTGTTAATACGTGATGTGTTACCCTCTTTAATGTGTTCCAGTGCTGTTATCATGGGTGCCACTTCCACAATATTCCATGATATTGTTTGTAAAAGGCTTGTGGTCTTACGGTGCTGTTTGTTATTAACTCCACATTAAGCAGGTCGAGTCAGGACTAGCGGGCCCTGCAGGGTGACACCCTGTTGATTCCCTGTCCAGCTTAACTGGTAGAGCATGGTATTGAAACTGCCGGGGTTAGGGGTTTGAGTCCCTGTCTAGCTCAACTGGTAGAGCATGGCATTAAAACTGCCAGGGTTAGGGGTTTGAGTCCCTGCCTAGCCCAACTGGTAGAGCATGGCATTAACCCTGCCAGGGTTAGGGGTGTGATTCCATGTCTAGCTCTACTGGTAAAGCATGGCATTAACACTGCCAGGGTTAGGGGTGTGATTCCCTGTCTAGCTCAACTGGTAGAGCATAGCACTAAAGCCACAATTAAATTGAAACAAAATCGAAATTGTTGGCCCGCAACGTACAGCTCACATCCCAGTGACTGTATTGTTCTCGTCAATTTAGATGTTGTATATCAAGTGTATAAAGGCCTCAACACTGCCAGGGTTAGGGGTTTGATTCCCACTGCCCAAGTGGGAATAAAACTACCCATGCCAAGAATGTATGCACTAATGTTATTGTAAGATGCTGTGGACAAAAGCGTCCACCAAATGGCATTCATATGTACTAGACTACAGGTACAGGGCATGCAGATACTGTGTGGTCAAATGTCCTTCAGCAGGAAACACTGCTCTCTGCTGGCACGACACAGCACTCCAATCAAACTGGGATTTGGAAATTGGGTTTTCCAAACTAGTAGTGGGACTTTGATTAGATTTTAGTCACAATATCTGGATATGGATCTGCATAGGGAATATTTGGGTAGGGTGAGACTACAGTTTACAAATGAATCAATAGGGGAGTCACCAGGTGAACAAACACATGAACCAACAGGAAACCCAGCAGGTTAGCCTCACCTTGTCCTTGCAGGGTCGCTGGCAGTTCTTGGCAGCACACACAGCATTCTCGTCGTTGGAGTCCTCGGCGCCGGACCAGTCATACTTGGACGGGATGTCCAGAATCTTCTTCTCCTTCCTCTTGTCTAGCCCCTCCCTCATGCCCTCTACCTTGGCCGCCGCCTTCTCCTTCCTCTTCCTCTCCTTCTCCTCCTTGGCGAGCCGCTTGGCAAGCTGCTTGAGCTCGCGGCTCTTCTCCACACCCACCTTCAGCTTCTTCTTCTTGGCTTTTCCCGCTAGCCCCAGCTCTAGCCCCGCCCTCTTCAGCTCCTTGCTCTTGGCGTGGCGGAGGTCTCCCGTGGTGACGGTGGCCATCAGCATGTGGTGCTGCTCGGCACGCTCCAGCTTCCTCCTCCTCTTCCTCTCTGACTCCTTGAGCTTGATCTTTAGGGGCTTGTCCAGCAGCGAGTCACCAGGCTGAGTGAGAGGAGGAAGTTAAACAGGGTTAGCTAGGGTTGTCCCCTAAAATTTGACTAGTCGAATCGTCATTCAGAGAGCCGAGTCGACTCAAGTTCTCTTAGTCGAACCATCGCAGGTTTTTTTTAAATTATAATAACCGAATAAAACATGATTTAGAGGATACATATAGGAACATATAGGAATGTCATGACAGTAATAATGGAAAAGAGACAATAATTATTACAAGAGAACTAATGCTTCAAGAAGAGATGTATTTAATGTTAGATCTGATGACAGACCAACATACAAAAAAACCTTGACAGGCAAGTGCTGCGGTGAAAAATAATCTTGACCATTATTGTAAAAAGATCTGGGGCCATATTCACAAAGCATTTTATCTTACCGCTAGGAGTGCTCCTAACTCGCGCTAAAACATTTTACGTAGGAGTTTTTTCTTAAAAGTTATTCACAAAGCCGCTGAGACCTACTCATACTTAGGATAAATCACTAAGAGTGAACTAAGAGTGACGCGCCGTTGCTATGGATTACGTCGATTCTCGTGCACAAGTTTAGAAGCGGTCAGTACGGTGATTGGTTGTTCAGAGCAGGTGGTCTCTGTGAAACTCATCCGCAACATCCCACAAACGAGCCCACTAAATCACCGAAAAACAAGGAAATAGCCTAGGCTAGAAAATGAATTCCTATCAAATAGTTATGGACAGTGCAGTTAGCAGAATACACGCATGATGACAAGTTTGTGCAGACCACGATAATGACGTTGTAGCCTATACGTTAAAGAGAGAGAGAAAAAGCAAACAATAAAAATACATAAATTGCATTAAATCAAGGAGGCAATTAAAAGCACCCTGCAAACTATTATCCAATGAGCATATCTCCAGCACTTCAACACTTTAAATAACAGCCCATACCGGTTGTGGAGAATGGCACATACAGTGATCAATGTACTTGCCCTCTCTGGGCTGAGGCGTATTTTGCCGTGCAGGACATGAAATCGACGTTTCATCTGCCCAATTCCTCTCTCCACAACATTTCGTGTATTTTTGTGTGCTCTAACATATATTGAGGAAAACAGTAAACAATAATAAATATGGATTCAACAAATAACAGGCGACAAAGAGCTAATACAATGTTTTTTACGCATAGGACTAAGCGTAATCTGTGTAATCACTTACATGTTATACTTTAACTGTGCTCCCGGTTGTGGATTGAGATAGGGTGTCAAGAGCCACGTCTTGCAGGGTAGCGACTGTCACCCAGCAAGTGACACCCAACTGGTACATGGTGCCTCTCAAAAAGCTGCCTCAGACCGCTCTCCATTAAAATACGCGAATCATGGGTAGACCCAGGCCACTTTGCAACAACATCAAGAATGTTAAAAGTTGCATCAAAAACAATCTGCGTGTTGATGGAATGTACTTTCTTTCTATTGACGAACACGTCCTCATCTTTTGATGGTGCAATTATTTGTATGTGCGTCCCGTCAATAGCACCGACCACACCGGGCATACCTGCAATTGCCATGAAGTTGGCTTTGATCCTGTGTAATTGTTGATTGTCCAAAGGAAACCGGATAAACTGTTGGATGATATTAATGGTATTATTATTATTATTATTATTCTCGTCCAGAATGTGGAACCACTGGCGTTCTAGCCTGTATGTAAATATATGATCATTGTGGAATCATGTGTGTGTGTTTGTGTGTGTCTGTGTATACGTGTATTTACATATATGTATGTACATGTATATATCAGAGGTTGCGCTAGACTTTTTCGTTGTCCGTCATTTTGACTGATGGGGTCATAAAAATCCCGTCATAATCTATTTTTACCGGTCACTTTATTTTTTAAATGATAATAATGACATGTTCAATATCATTTAATTTTAATTCATTTTTAATTAATATTCAGTCCAAACAAGCTGAACAAATAATCCACACCGTGGATACACACATCAAGCAGAAGAATATGTAAGAATATCGGCCGCCAGGCGATTCGCGTATAGTGAGGCTTGACGGTGATTCATCACCACAATGCGGGCGGGAGCTAGTTGATCCACTAGTCAACATGCGGGAGCTAGTTGATCCACTAGTCAACACACGGGAGCTAGTTGATCAGTCAACATGCCCCCAAGCGAACGAGTTTTCAAGGTGGCGCGATGTCGTGGATAATTCGCGTATAGTGGGGCTTCTAGTAGGGTTGTGCCGATGGATGATGTCCTCGTCCATCGTGATGGCTGACTGACGTCACGATGGAGAACCACCATCGTGATGCCACACTCCCTTGTCCGACACACACTAATCCTATAGTCTCTTCTAGTTATTACCTAAAAACTTTGCAGGGATTGCTCTGTAAATAAATTGAAAATATAGCTAATGGTCCATATAAAGTGCTGTAAGTTAACTAGGGCTGCCCCCTAATAGTTGGCTTAGTCGATCGACGGAGGCTTAGTCGAATACGTTTTCATTAGTCGAGCAAAAAGTAAAACATAAAAATAAGAAGGCATGAGCATCGCAAACCGAATACATCCGTGGTCGCAACAAGCCCTGATTTAACTAATCGCTGCAGGCATACTGAGCAATACACGTGAGCAAAAAGTAAAACATAAAAATAAGAAGGCATGAGCATCGCAAACCGAATACATCCGTGGTCGCAACAAGCCCTGATTTAACTAATCGCTGCAGGCATACTGAGCAATACAATACTGGGCAGGTAGACACCGGGGCAGGAAAACACCTAGGCAGGTAGACACCGCTAGACACACGGGACTCATACCGGTGATCGCGGCGCAGAGTTTACAAAGGTAATTGAAGAAGTACAGAAAGAAAACGCCACATTCTCAACTCGCATTGATGATCTCGAGGAGGAAGCTAACGGCCAGGCCAACCGGGTTGTTGCACTTGAAGCTACAGTTAGCACGCTGTCTACACAAGTCGCCCGGTTGACAGAGAAGACCGAAGATTTGGAGTCCCGGCAGCGGCGAGATAACTGCAGACTAGTTGGAGTGGAAGAGGGACTTGGAAATATTCGACCGGAGAAAGCCGTGGCCGACCTGCTGAAGGAAGCGCTCGCCCTTGACTATATACGCCGGCGCTCGACCGGGCACACAGGAGCCTTCAGCCGAGGCCAAAGGATGGGGATGCCCCAAGGCCAATAATCGTGAAGTTCCACTACTTCCAGGAGAAAGTGGATGCTCTTCGAAAGGCTATGGGGGCAGGTCCCATCACCCACAAAGGCAAACGCTTCTTCATCTACCCAGATTACTCGGTTGCCGTCAGAAAAAAGAGAGCAGCCTTCACCGAGGTGAGAGGGTTGCTACGCCGGTGCACGGGTGTGAAATACGGGCTCCTGTTTCCAGCCACACTGAAGATCACTACCCCAGCTGGCGAGCAGGCATCTTTTGAAGACCCGGTCAAGGCAAAGCACTACATCGAGACCAATCTGCGCCCACGGGAGATGGAGGGAGAGTGACAGATAATTCACCAGGCCATAACAGGTATCATACGCTGCATATTAACATTGCAGTAGACTGCACACGCTGACTTATATGTTGACTGGTAGACGTCACCACACTGCAGTTGGATGCATTTTATGTTGGACTATGGACAAAGCTAAGTGACATTTTTCATGGCATTTGTCATCTGAGGAATGTAAATGGGGATTTAAAAAAAAAAAAAAAAGACTGATGAATAATTATGCACGTCTCCTACAGTATGTGAAGGGTGACGTGGAGAATATCTTATTTAATAATGTTAATATTCTCCTTTGCTTTCCTTTTTCTCTGCCACGTAATGGCAAGTGCATAATGTTTAAGTTTTAATCTGTTACTTTAACCCTAATAGTACTCTTTCTTTATTTTTTAA